GCAGGAAGTGCTGCGAGACCAGTGTGTGACCAATGATATTACTGTAATACGGTATCTAGATGTATACTATTTGTGATGACAAACTAATACTCCTAATGCATCTCACACAGAAGACTCAAAAGCAAGTGTTTAATATTTCTATCCCTTCAAACTTTTATTAGATTTTTCATACAGTTTTAAACAGATATAAAAACCTGTCGCCATCACTGCTTGCTGATAGTTTTCATTTGAATCCATTAAGCTTTGCAAAATCTTCCACTATTACAATGCAGTTGAATACCAAATTTCAATCAATCTTTCTGATAGCTGCCAAACCTCAAAAACATACCCTAGCTTCACAGTAATTCATCCTCATTTGCTGGTTTACTTAAAGCCTCCTCTGACACCAGTATTCTCAATTATCATTTTACTTGTCCCTAGATCAAACATTTTCCAGGAGATATTCTTTAATTTATATACTGTTCCTGAATGCTTTCCATAAAATGGAATGGAAATTTGGCAGAATAAAAGCAGGTACCACCACCAAGAATATCTTCCTACCAAAACTTCCAAAAGAATCTGTGACGTTGAGTTATCTAAATTCTTTTAACCTTCAAAACCTACATTTAAAGTTTGACTCAAAATTTACATTTCTACTAGATGCTTTTTGAGGTCAGATATTAAATTTCAAGTATTTTGCATCCCATTCTTTCTGCTGCTCTACATTCTCAATTCTTTGAATCACAACATCTTGCTAAGCAAGATTATACTGTTCATACTAAGCTTAAACTGAACTCAGACTTCACTAAGCAACTTAATAGAAGCTAGTGCTCCTAATAAAAGTGCTTGAGATAAAACACCAACGATAAAGAATCTCTGTCCTTTAAATGATAAGCAATGATACTATAAAAATGTTTTAAAACATCAGTGAACCTAAATTACATGAATACAGAATATCAAAAGGTATAAAGGGAACTTAAAAGAACTTTTAATGAAAGATATGCTCAAGAACCAGCCAAAAAAGGGAAAAAACAGTTGATGATTTGTAAGGCTGAGATCGTATTAGCTTACTAGTAACTAGTTCCAACTGTACTTCAAACCCAACAGAACATGATTTAGATTCTGGAAACAGTATGAAAAAGTTTACCCATCTAAATAAGAAAACCCACACTCAAGTCTTTCTACTCGCTTGCCATTATCAAGGTGCTGTTGATAATGGCAGCAGGAAGAACAGAAAAGAAAAAGAACATTCTACTCTGCTAATTGATGACAGCTTAGCAAAGAACAAAAGCAACATGCTGGTAATATAGACTGCAATTTAAATAATGTTTTTGTGTAAACATTGTGCTCTGGAGATACAAGGACAAGTTATCCATGAAAACGTTTATATATAAAAATTAATGATGAAATACTTATATGTATGTTCACCTAACAGGTACGCTATGTTTTGAAACAGAAATCTAAATAAAATTAGCGAAGTTTTACAGTTTTCTATTATGGATTTTTTTTTTCTATTTTTAAGAAGGATAATTTATACCACTGGCTGAAATCAACAAAATTAAGTAACACATATGCAGGAATTCGCCATTATTATGTCACGTTCTACAATGTGCAGCACTTATTATAAGTACAGTACTTGGTATATTTTCAGCTAAAACATCTGGAGCCTGATTTTTAAAATAAAGCATCTTTTTAATTTTTTTTTTTTTTAAAGCAAAACAACATGTAAAAATAGTTAAGCTATAGCGAATAACATGACTTCAATTCACTACTTACTTAGGAGTTGAAGGACCTCTTGGCCATGTTCCATCCTCATTCTTCTGTTCTATCACCAGTACCTACCACAAAAAGTGTAATAAGAAAACCGAAATAGAAGTATCAGTAGGTTGCTTTCTGTTCCAATCTTTTTAATGGATTTACAGACATGAGATTGAGACAGAAATGACTGATATCTTTTTTTCCTCCCCATACCTTAATTTGTGCAACTTTGGATAAGCCACTTAATATTTCTATGCCTCAACAATCCATGGATAAAATGGCAAGACCGTACCTCTCAAAGAGGTCAGAAGATGACCTGCAATGTCTTAACATGTCTATACAACAGCCCTGTCGAGGCAGGGAGACTCCTGAAGGAATTTTGCCTCTCACAAAATACAACACAGACTGGTAGAAAAAAACCCCAAACAAACCAAACCATTTTCTGCCTTGATATCCTTAAAATCATACCTGTCTGGTTACTCCTGTATTTTTTGCAAAAGCATTCATCTAATATTAATTGTCCAATGGGACAGTTGGCTAATGAAATTAAATTCATTCAAGTTGTTATTGGTACAAAAGGGAGTACAGAACACTCAGTCCTAAACACAGGCATCAAGTGCCATTTGAAGCGCCTTTGGATATTTGAGGTATCTGCTCTATGCTGGCAGATATGACACAGGACCTACAAAAAGCTCACGCCTTTCTGGACTGACAGCTGGCATAGCCTAGATCATCTGAAACAGCAACTAGACTCCAATATTTAAACTGGATCTAACTCTTAATTCGCAATGCAACTAATTCTGCATAATTGCATACTGATGTTTCAGAATGCTCATTAACTGCCATACTATACCTACACGTGTCTACACAGTGACATACATTCAACATATGTACTTATGCTCAAAACCTTATACTTAAGTCATGCTGCCACTTGAAGGTATAATCACATTTTCGGTCTGAATATACCAAGACATGACATTGAAAACCAGCCTTCTATCATGACCTGCTTTCTATCTGGAAAAGACTAGTCTGCTTTCTTGGGTCATGAATGCTGTAAAACAGATTCTGCCATGTTTCCTTCCATTGGCTCTCAGAGACTACAAAATAAAACGAAGATTTAGACTTAAAAGTTCAATGGAACCCCTAGAGGCGCACTTCAGAAACCAACTGGTAACTTAAAGACATTAATTTACATACATAGTTTAGAATTACACAGTAAAAAAATAACTGTTAGGTTAGACAGGCTGTAACAGTCAGATAACTATTATTAGATTAGGAAGCTAAGCAAGAAAAATAACAACCCTTGTGTGTCAGCAAGTGCAACCGACCAAACACACATGGTCTACCACCACATTTAGCATTTTCAGAAACCATGGTTAAACTCGGTTTTGAACAATATTTATTTTGCTGAAAGTACAGATGTCACCCAGAGATCTTTTTAAGGCTGCATTAGACCATGCTCACTTAATAGTTAATGTTTCACTGGGACAGAGGCAATTTGCAAGTTACATCTTTCACGCAAATCTTTTATGGGTGATGTGGGCTCTTCTAGCAGGACCTCTGCATTGTTAAAACTACCTGTGTGAGCGCCTAAGTGTGTGCAGCATGAAGCTAAAGGGCACAATAGCTCAAGCTGTTATTTTGGTGCGCTGATTACTTACCTTCCATGCCATAAAACTGAAGCACAGCATAAATACTGCTGGTAAGTATCTTAGAGTCAAGTATTTCAAGGCAAAAGGAAATACTTTAATATAATTTTGCCTATAATTAGTGCCATCAAATTTCATCCGTACATATTTGTAGCACGACAGCATGAACTACAGCTGTCGAAAAAACACTGAATTCTATTTGAAGACTAAGGAATCAATATAATAATCTAAAAAGTTATTCTAACAATGAAATTGTTCAATCAGTTTGCATTTATATTTGTGTAGCTTTAACATCCAATATTTGTTCTTTATATTCATCTGGAAAGATAAAAAGAAAAAATCTTGTAAGAAATCCTGCCATAAAGGCATTTTAAAGTGATGGTTCAGTCTCACACTAAAGCAGGTTTTCAAGCTCTTTTGTCTCTATAGCTCTTATTTGAAATCTTTTCATTTTTTCTTTCTGAAATCCAGACAGTGGATTTTGAGTAGAAGACATCATTCTTTTAGAGTACCTAAAAAGTTCTTCAAATTTTGGGTTTCATTATAGGAACATATCCCAGATCCTAGGTTATACCAAATTCAAGTCAGCAATCTTACTTTTAAATCACCAGGAGAGCTAAAGTCATCAAAAATAAACTCAAAGACTACTTTCATTTTGATCAATTTGTTTATAAAATCCTCTATCCCTAACACAATCTATTAGGAGGCAATTTTCATTTAAAAAGAAGGAAAATTCATTGGGTACTGCTACATTTTGATGTGCAAATAAATACATGTATAAAGAAAGAAATAATATTACACTGTACCTGTCCCTGGTATAAACCAGCATCCTGTATGGTACTGTCTGGTTTATTCAAAGGTTCAAAAGTATTACTCATGTATTTGTTCCACAATCTGGTCTCTTTTTCACCTGGAATATTGAAGATTTTTCTTATCTCTTTTTCAATTGTGTCTGTTTTGAAAGGAAGAGAACAGAAGTTTAGCATTTCACTACACAAACAGTATAAGGCTGAATACAGCATCAGAATCACCCACTCTCTTCTTATATTCAAAATATGAATGGGACTGTAGAAATAGCCATGCGACTACATCATGTCGTAGGACAAGCTGGAAGTTGCTAGTTCACTTGCCTTTAAAATGGAAACAGTCCGAGGACTATTTTATTCCCTCCTGAATCTCTGAGCAAAGCAGACCAAGTAAAGACAAGCTGATAAATAACAGATGACAGGACGCACCTAGGTACCCATCTACTAATTTCCTAGAGTGTAGTAACACAGGAGTGTGGGTGGGTAGGGAATGATTAGAAGTGAGACTGGCAGCAAAATCAGGTGCAGGGAGTGCAAGTCATTCTGTTCCTCTCCCTAAAGCAAACTCTTTGGTTTCCACTCTTCTACTACCCATATCCCAGTTCAACTGGCACTGACCACAGTATATATGCATATATTTTAATTTACACGCTCACAGAAATTAAAGACTACTCTGTAAAACTGAAGCATATGAATTTATTTTAAAAGGATGATGAAAGTTTTTACATCCCTGGAAGATTTGACATAAAATGGTCTACCAGCTCCTATTCTACCTGACAGAAATATAATAAGCGTTACATAATTTTAAGGTAGTAGAACTATTGTCTACAACTGAAATTTAAGAAGTTCATAATTAACTCCATTCTCCTTATGAAAAAGTAGAGTTTATTAAAGTTATTTAATTTGAACTAATACGTACAGTGCTATACCACAGCAACCTCACCTAGATTTTTTTAATTGGTATACTCATAAAGCCCCACAGCAGCTGAGTCTCATAACAGCTAACACAGAAAACAAAACAGGAATCAAGAAATGTACAGTTTATTCCTGATGACCACTGAAAACACAACTATAAAAATAAGCTCTTTGAGAGACATTTCCCTGAAGTCCCAGGATAAAACACCAGCGTGTCAGCTCCTCTAGCACTCCCCTTGCTCCCTTTTACTTAAGATTGTCATTTTCTCTTCCGCTATGTTAAATATGAAAAGTCAAAATCAGACCTGAGACTTAAAAGTAACTTATAAAAATCCAGCCATGGGCTTGTGAAATGCACGACAACTGGCCAATATAGTATTTGTAGATATTGTAGGCCGAATACAATTTCTTTCTATACTAGTTAACACATATTTTAGTATGAAAGCAAGTGTTAGACTGGATCATCTGTTTCTGTAATAGGGATGATACGTAGGCAAGGCAGGTGCTATAAACAAGGCAACAGGCTGCTACTTGATTTACTGACTTTAAAAAAAAGTTAAAAAAATTATGTACTCTCTGAATCAATTCTCAACCAATGATTTCAAATAACTATGTTTGAATGTAAGAATTCACCTAGTCAGCAACAATCTTCCAGATTTATCAATGACTTTCACTAAAAGAAGGATTTACAAAAGGTATTTTTTCATTATCTTATTAATACCGTGACAAGTAATTATTTGAGCATTGCAGCTCATATTCTTTGCAAGTACTAAGTTAATGTTTATGTTATGAGACAGGAGGCATCAATCCTATCAGATGACTACACATGGTGTCCAAGACTCTGGGAAGAGCATGTTCCACTTGACTATTATGCTAATTTTGAGACTGTGAAACTAAGGTTCTTTTACATGCTTCCATGAACATAACGAATGCACACTTTATAATTCCTCCCCCCGTCCCCCAGCAAGTATCACTGAAGTGCTAGCTTATGATCTAAAGTGAAAACTCCTGTTGCAGTATAAATGAAAACATTACATTCAAATAGATATGGTCTGAGGCATATTGTGTACAGGGTTCTCTAGTAGTGTTACACACATCCCATGTATGAGACAATTAGTACTAGGACAACGCCTAACAGAGATGGAAAGATCTGCCTTTAAAGATGCCTCTCACTCCATCAGCTACATAGCCACAATTTGAGATAGTTCAATTTGAGAGTTAAAGGTTATGGATCCCACATAGGATATATCCTATATTGTTAAAAATCAGATAGCTCCTCTAAAAAAAACAGTTGCGTGACTTAAGTACTACTTTGCAAGACTATGTGGAAGAGTCTTGATGAAATGCTGGAGAAGTTCAGTGGATCCTAATACAAGGATCCTGGCTCCTAAAGGCTAGTGCTATCACAAATACTGGCTAAAGGAAGCTGTAGTAAACTTGATCTGTACTATGAAACAGTAATCCCAGCTTCCTAAAGAAGTGAAAGGCTGGTCACAGATTCCCAGAATAAATTGTCCTCAAAGGTGGCAAGTTTTACATTCTTGTATTTTGCAGCAAATTAAAGGGAAAGATCAATCAAAGCCATTTGCTACGACAACTTACTGGCAAAAGTCCATTAGATAGAGAGCCACTGGTGTAATCTCCTACAAGGTTTATCAGCTCAGTTTGGGAATTGTTTTATGGCATTGCAGACACAACCTGACTCCTATTTGTCCATATCAGAGGTTACAGACAGTCTTTCTATAATTTTGTGGTTTGTAAAACTTTTGAATAAAGGTAGAAAAGGCCTATGTGTTAGCCGATGGCTTAGTTTTATCATACTTTCATATGATTAAGACTCTTGGAATGGATCATTAACTCATTTTCATGCAAGCCCAGATGTTCTCTAGGATCAGCAACAATAAGTAGACTGAAATGCTGTCTGAACTACATCTATTATCTAGCTCATTTTCTTGAAAAACACCACCCCCCCCCCGAAGAGTAAGTCAACAATCAGCCTCAAAGTTAATACGCACTGCCTCCAAGGCAAAAGTCCTCAATTGTAAGAGATTCCCAAGAAGGTCCAAAGAACACATTAGATGTTTCCATTATTAGGCCTGCCCTTTATAATTATTTTTTTCTATCTTGTACTAATTTAGTGACATACAGCTTAGCTTAGTTTTTATTTGAACGGAAAAGCAAAGGCATTCCAGGAATAACACACATTTGAAGACTGGTAGGTGAATATTATATCGTGCTCAGAGTATTTAAGGTGCTCCAAAACTTTCTCTGTTTATGTGAATTAAGGAAGGTCTTGTCTTGATCTTTTGAGGGCAGTAAATAATATAATCAGTGATAGTGGGTAGAAAAATTAAAACTTCTTGAAAGACCATAGTACCTTATGTCCACTTACTTCAGTGGGGCTGATATTGCCTCTTTTGTACTACAAGTCTTCTGCACCCATAATGAATATGCATTCCTTACTGGCATATGCAAGGAAGGGTGAAAATTAATCAAGATTCAGTAAGATTCCTCTTGCATATGATTTATTGATACAATAAGCACCTCTGCTATATATTTGATGAATTCCTCAACTACCTAAAATACATTTAAGGTAAGGACAGGGGAAAAAAAAAATCACCATCTTATTAACGGATAATAAGAGAAAAATCTCAGGGATCAGTTATTCTTTCACTCTTAAAAGTGGTTTTTAATTTTTCTAGCTCTTTTTCTAACATACAAACTATTTTGGATGTCATGGCTAGGATGGTCCTCCTTGGTGTTCTGCATAAGAAGATTCAGCTTCACAAAGGGCATATTTGTAAGGCCCCAAGAGCATGTCACCCACAACTCAAGTCAGGCCAGCGTCTGGAAAGGAGCTGCCAGTGAGCCTGACTGTTTCTCATTGCCCTTCATGACAATTTTCTCATAATTGTAATTCTCCCTCTGCTAAGAAAAAATTAATACACCTCCAAATAATGGTCATTCCAAAATGGTTAGAGCTTCCGGTTAGAAAAGGAAAATATCAGAAATTCATCCATTACCTATAAATCCAATGATACAATTAAATTCAATATAGCTGTAGAAGAGCTTCTATCTGGTCCTCAGGGAAGGACAATGTTAAATTGTTTTTTCTAAGTTTCTGGGTTTGCTTAGAAAATAATGAAGTACATGTTCCCAAGTTAAACCAGCTCTCAAAAATTAACAAATAACACTGAAACCTTGTTTCAAGGACAAATGTCATAATTTTTAAATATTTCTTCTAACACAAGCAGATGATTACTTGTTTAACTTAAAGATTAAAATTTAACCAAGTAAAATCATCCTGTTTTTAAAGCAAGTCACCTGCAAAGAATTAAAGGGTAACAAGTATAAGTCACTATCCATAACACAAAGAGAAGCAAAACTTGAAAAAACTACACTGTTGTCAAAGAATGTAAACAAAGAGTAATGGCTGGGTATAAAGTGCCAAGGGCATAAAGTACAATTCCAACTGCACAACTACAGCTGACTGAAACTTTTATCTCAGATACATATGCACAAATACACCAAAAATTGCATTTAAATGACCAGCAGTATCTTTGCATATGGTCTGATTGTTACTTTCAGAGACAAATATATGTTATCAAAATATGGTTTCAAACAATGACACAATGCTCAAAGAGCGGGCAAAATAACTACAAATAAGTTAAAGATTTAGACTCAATTGCTGTAAAAGATTGTGCCTGTCCTGCCACTTCGCAACTGAAAGAATACAGCCTTTGTAAGTCACCTTTAGCCATTAATTTATAAATTCAATCCATTCCTGTGTTTTGTAACATACCATTCTCTTTATATATATATATATATGACAAAAAAGTGTTGGCTAATGAAAGACATGAATGGAAATACACATTCCTTACACACCAAAAGCCAAGAAAAAGTACTATGGAATCCAATAAAGATAATGAAAAACAACACACTGTTCACTTCCTGAAAAGTGCAAACCTCTAAAGGTAACACAGATGCCTAGATAATAAAACATACATTAAAAAAAAAAACAACATATTAAAAATCCTAAATATTCCAAATAGTTTAACTTTTATTTTGACCCAAACAAGACAAGTCCCATTGTTTTTAATGGTTAAAATACCCATCTATAATTTTACCAAGAGACTAACTTACTCAGAACTTGCTACCAAATACTATTTAAACACAAGTAACAATCATATATTGTTAAATGCAGTTGTGCATACCTATTGTATCAGCTTTACTAAATCTTCGTGTGACAACATTGTTCATATTTCCATTTTCACAAAGCTTTAATTCTGTTAGATATACTTCTACTTTGCAGTGCTTTACAAACATACCCTGTTCAACGACCTGAAAAACAGATTGGGATCAGGTATCAGCTCAAATATGTTTTCATATACACACTTCAAAATATTTTTGAGAACTCTTCAATCAACTGAAGTTCAGGGAATGTAAGACACTTAATAAATGCCAAAATTGAAAAATAAAATTATCCTACAACTTTTTAGCAATATGGTGAACTAAAAAGTGATTTTTTTTTCCCATGATGACAATTTCTTACTTGTGTACAAGAATATCATGAATTTCAAAGTGTCAAGTACAGTGGAAATCACAAATATGCATACTTAACCAAAAGATACTTGATCAACAGATAAAAAACACCAAAAGTTACTTTATTTCAAAAGACATTTGCTGTATGCTACTTCCTCAAAACATAAAGGAATAGTCTTCACAGTTAAAGAACTCTTAGCAAAAACAGAATACACACTACTAAAATCTGGATATTACATTTTTAAACAAATCCTGTATTTAAACAAGACCTACAAACCTTCCATTTATATTCTGGTAATGAATACATTCATTTGAAATTTTACCTACTCATTACAGTTGCTTATTATATATTTATTTTTGTAACACCTATTACAAAATAGTTAAGCATACAGTTTTTTTTTTTAAATAAAAGTAAAACGTAGAAAGAAATTTTCAGGGTCACCTCTTAAATGTTTTTCCCTTTGATCTTCCAAAGTGTAACTGCAGTACTTAGTCATGTAGACTGTTCCAAAAATAACCATAAGCCTGATATGTGATACTTCTGACAAATATGGCAAAAAAAAAAAGCCACCAGCTAATTGCTAGGAGAGATCTGCTATCTGCTGTACAAATATAACTTGTATGCATGTGCCATATGAAAAAAAAATGTGAATGATTTCCTTGCTGTTCAGTAGTTTGCCTTAGCTTTAATGACTGACAACCATGATATTTAAATAAAAATGCATCTTAATTTCAGCAGCTTAGTAGGTTTTCAGCTACTAGAGTAACAACAAAACAGTTACAGTAAACAAAACACTGTGTGTGCAGTATGGCTAAGACATTTCTGAGAATAAAACTGACACTGTAGTGGTAGTATTACCACATCCTATTACATGAATTCACGTTATTTGACATGGATCAAGTACAACATTGTATCAATTTAAAATTTGGATCCACATTTCAAAAAAAGTTGATGCAACAAAGGGAATGAAAGAAAAGTATCATCCCACCTCTATGAAAAAACATTAAGGTAGGCCGGAGAAAGAATCACGAACAAAAGACCAAAGCATCAGAAAGAAAAAATTTAAACTGGAATATGCATCTTGGAGGGTAACTACTGTTCATATTGTAGAAAATACTGAAGCTATGCCAGTTTACCTGGCCACTTATTATATTCCACGCATTTTTCCAGTTAGTTCCTTCCAAGTAGAAGGCAAATTACTCTAATTTCCATTCTCTCTCCTTCCATTTTTCCCCCAAAAGTGAAAAAATTACAAAACTTTTACTTTACCATAATGATGGAAAAGCATTCAGTTTGCTGAAAAAACACCTTTAGGAAAAACAGTAACAAGTTGCTAACAGATATATCTTTAAAGAAGGAGAGCCATTTTAATGGATTTCAGCTCTTAAAGAATTAGAGAAAAAGAAAGAGACATTCCAGGGATGTCTCTTTAAAAAAAGATCTCTTTTATTGTATTAAAAAGACTGTTAAGAAAACCCCAACAAACTACTACTTTTGCTGACCAAATTAATCGTGACACAGAATTTCTTCCATAGCTGAATCTGGCACTTGTTTGAAAGGAATGAACTTCAAGTAAGCAGCCGGCATGCAGGCAGTTAGACCACACTCATGTCATAGGAGGCAAAACAAGTTATATTACACCAGAAGTCATATCAAATTAAATTCTAATCATAATATTCTTTAACCAGTTTTTCAGGATTTAAAACAAAGATCCCCATACCTGAAAAAATATGCCCTAATGGTCAATTTAGAAATGGCAAACGTATCAAAATGTATTTTAAAACTTAAGTAATTCAGTCCAGTGAGGATGTAACTGTAATCACTAACCTGAAAATCTTAAGAAATAATACAAACAAAAAAGACTATCTGATCAATAAACTGGTAAAATGTCATATCACCTTAATAATAAGGAAGGTATGTGCTGGAGAAAAAAAAAATTAAATTAATTTTTTTAAGTATCTCATACTGATGGAAGGGCACAGTATCTACCATAACATGGACTACTACTTGTGTTGAGGTAAGCTTTCTGCTTAAAGAAAAAATCCCTTAGCAAGCTGAATACAGAAGATTGTGCTTATCAGAAGAGGAACTACCAATTACTCTGCCAGTGTTAACATTATTAGAGCTAGGCTTTTCACTAATATGGTCAATACAGTTTTAGGATTTTATATTTTATCACAAAATCATTTGCATTAACAGACTTAGAAGCTTCTAAAGCAAGTTCTTCTTGAAACATTAGAGGGCTTACTTCCAGAAAAAAAAAAAAAAGTATTATATCCTTTTCATCCTTGTTTCTCAATATTAAAAATTTAAGTTTCTAAAATCTCAATAAAAATTAGGTATCTATAAGCAACTAAAGCAGGAATTCTTATGAGGAAAGGCTGAGGGACTTGGGTCTCTTTAGTTTAGAGAAAAGAAGATTGAGGGGGGATCTTATTAATACATACAAATACTTAAAGGGAGGGTGCCAGGGGGATGGGAGCAGTCTTTTTTCAGTGGTGCCCAGTGATAGGACGAGGGGTAATGGGCATAAACTTGAACATAGGAAGTTCCATCTTAACATGAGAAGGAACTTCTTTACTTTGAGGGTAGTGGAGCACTGGAACAGGCTGCCCAGAGAGGTGGTAGAGTCTCCCACTCTGGAGACATTCAAAACCCACCTGGACGCTGTCCTGTGTAACGTGCTGTAGGTGCCCCTGCTCTGGCAGGAGGGTTGGACTAGATGATCTCCAGAGGTCCCTTCCAACCCTAACAATTCTGTGAATTCTGTGTGAATTCTGTGAATTGTCTATATAATTATCATAGCCCAGGACTTACAATCTTCTAATAAATTCCTGGGCAACTCCTGCATATTTACAAAACTAAATCTGAATCACATTCATCCCAGTGGGTAATTTAAGAGTACCTTGCGTGCTATTGGCTCTTGACCTTCCATCAGTGTGTACCAGCTAACTAGCCTATTCCAGCCTTCAGTTGGCAAAAGGATGTAGTCCAGCTCATCAATGAGATGTTCCTTGAGGGACTGAGAATCACCATCTGTAAGAGAAAGATATTTTTACTTGAATACTGTAATTCTGTTACTTGAGTTTTTAATGTAACATTTTTCACATAAATAGCAAATAAAAAAATTCTGAGCCACAGTTATGTTATCAGTATTATGGTGTTCAAAGCAAAACTCTTCTGAAACTATTTAGGCAAGCTATCCAGCTCATGCATAGCACACCTATTACAGGTAATATTCCTGTACTCAGGAACCCAAGTGACAACTCCATATCCTCACACAATCACAAATGCCTAACTTGTTATCACACACCATCATAGCCTTCAGAGAAACCAATCCATTTCTCCACCCACTTCGCACATATTCCCACATCACCATGGATACTTCCATTTCACGCTACAGTTGAATCCTTCACTGAAAATGCAGGAATGGGTAGTTACAGTAGATCCAAGACAAAGTTCGAAGCCATTTACTCCATGTCAGAGTGGAAAAATAACATGGTAAAGCCCTCCTACTTAAAGGATACTAAGTGCTCTGAAAACACAGTCCCTACGAAATTCTTCACAGGGACAGTGAGATGCAGCACTCGAAAGAAGTAGAACTCGGCAACCTCTTTACATAAGTAGCATGCTTTTAGTGTTGGTTCAATACTTATTGCAGTAGTAAGACAGCAGCCATCCTCTATGTGTAAGAGGTGATTCCAGATCTGAGACGCTGTGAGCCTCAGACAATTAGCGCAGCTGTCCTTCCATTTGGAAGTACCCAACTACAGGCCAGCAAACACCCCTGTACAGAAGGAGATCAAACAGGGAGACCCACACATTCAGCTCCAGAGAATGAATCAGAATGACATTTAATGAAGTGTGAAAATAAATGGACTATGTATAAAGAATAAATAGCCTGTAATAGATATACAGTCTATTTATTTTCATTGTCCTATGTGAGTGAACTGCAGAATTACATTGCACATTAGAACCAAGCATAAAAGTCACCTTAAATAATCTCAAATTGCTTCAAGTACTGACCTCCTCCATTTATATATTTTTTTTTTTTTTAAGCAATACTTCTGAGCAAAATGAATACTGTTATCGTCACTTTTCTGCAAGGACAAAAATACACGTGCGCTATGCGCGTATGAAAAGCACTACAGTCCTCTCATTTGCTCACATTTCTGTATGTCTCTTGTTTCTCCTTTGTATAAATTGAGCAAACACAGCATAATATGACTTCAATTAAAAGAAAATATCCTGAGCATTATAAAAGGCAAAATTAAAAAGTAAAGGTCCTTTAATAATAACAACTATTCTTTTTTTTTCTGTATAAGAAATGAACCAAACATTTTTCAACATGACCTTTTCTGTCAGAAGGCAACACTTAAGGACATTTAAGAGATGTGTTCACTTCCTGGAGGAAAGAGTAAACAACATTCAGCTTACCAAGACTCTAGAAATCTCCCTACTCTACCTGCACTTGCTACACCTTCAGTTGGTTTAAAGGGTTTTTGATTTTAAGGGAAAATACCGGGAAAAAAACCCAATGCTTTAATCACCTAAGTGGTGAAAATATGGGCAAAGAAGAATGCACAGCCTTCTTCTGCTCCTATTTTATTATCACTGCTGCTGACTCCCTCTTTCCTTCTCCAGTTCAGTACCTTGATGTGTGAGCAAAACATAGGAGATGCATATTGTTCTAGTTCATGTATTTCAACTGTGCAATATTTGTTACTAACACTAGCTGCTCAGAGAGGGCACAAAGATACTGTTTCCATAATATGCAATCTGTGCAGTTTAGAAATGACTTCATGCAGTCATGAAGGTACAATATGGTTCGCGTGCATCTTCTCTGATAAAAATTGTAAATGACTTAGTAGGAACAAAGAAACCCTAACAACAACAAAACCCCCAAAATGCAGCCAGGTAAGTATTAGAATTGTGAAGTTATTTTAGAAAGAGGGGATGATCAAGTTCAGAAATAGCCAAAGTATTTGTTGCAATTTTAGCAAGAAAAAACACAAGAGCAACACAGAAGGCAAAAAAGGAAAGTAGAAGAAAACCTCAGGCTTTGGATTCCACTTTGGGAGCCACAGTATATACATTTTTCGAGCAAAATGTAAAATGTAATTTCACATTAAGATCTCAGTGAACATACAGGTAAATAAGAATTCAGTTCTTTATGGAGATAAATATAATTAATGTTACCTAATAAACAGGACTTCAATTAATGCACCTGTTCAAAAGCTATTTTCCTTCCCTCCCCCTGGGCTGTTTTATCCTAGCTGTAAAAGAAGAAAATCTTCAAGAGTCAAATTTTGGTTCAAAATTGTCCTGACTAATTAGGAAAAAAAAAATAAATATCTATATTCGAGAGTTACATACACGAAACATTTGCTGAAATCATTCACAACTTGCACTGTGAATTCTTACTTGGTGCACTCAACACTATGCATATGGTGGTTCCATTTTAACTGGGAGCAAATTGTGGGGAGAAAGCCACAAGCACATCTTCAGGTCCATCTATCTCTTTAAAAGGTTCATACTGTATTTCTGCACTGATCTAATATTACTGTAGGAGCTTATAGTGAGAAGACAGAATTTGGATTCCATTCTATCTTTCTAAAACCCCTAACAGTTCTTCTAGTATCATGTTTTCAGAACTTTGTTCCATCAGAGAAGTCCCCCTGACTCTGACGACTCAGTCCCTCATACGCAACACTTTTCTATGATGAACAATCAGTTATTCTAAATGACAACTTCCTTGTGCTTGCTTTGTTAATCTAAAGTTGACTGTATCTCTCTGCTTTTGAAGATGGTACACGTGCATTGCATTACATTCAACAACATTTTTTGTAAATGTTGAGATTAACTGAAATGCCTACCTATTACTTTTCACTGCTCTCACTTCATCCAAACGTGGTGGAAATAAGGGAGCAGCATTTAAGTAATATCAGCACAATATACTGCTTCAGTTTCTTGGAATCAGTCTTTCTTGAATTTAATAATCGATTTCCTCATCTCTGCATTACATTGCAGAATATTTGAGAAAGCATGCCCATTTTAGATTATTTTATTCTTTAAATCAGCCGCAAATTTTCAGACTTAAAACTTGAGGAAAGCAGTATGAGCACACCTAGTGCATACTACGTGCCAAAAACAGGATTAAAAACTAGGCCTTTTCAGGTTCAATTTATGCTACTTGGGAAATCTAGTAGAGAGTACTGCTGCTTTGCAGTGGGTGAAGGAAACAGCTACTATTTGCTGAGCACTAATGCCCTTAATTTTAAAACTGCCTTCACACCGACAAGTAGATGTCAGTAATTAAGTGCATGGTATCACTGCCAATGCAGAGCTATAGTTTTAGAACTATGAATGAGTGAAAAGTGAAGTTCGTAAACCCCAATACTGTGTTTATTTTGCAAGGTGTCTTGACGGTGTCAAAATGATAGAATACAGGTTTTCAGGAGCGTTTACCAAAATGGCTGACGTGACTTTACATTTGGACAACTAACCCTAACATAGGCTTCATATTGACAGTAACTTTAATCATAATCCAAACAGGTACGTAGATAAAGTTATATATAATGCAGACGAACTAACACAGTGCTTTGCACATCTAGAAATCACCTTTTTTAAGTGGGTAGACACACAAGAGAGAATAAGCTGATACTGCCTCGCTGAGGATAAAATAATCTTGCTACACCTAATTTCAACTGAAAAGTATCACCTGAACACGCCCACCTCACTGCAGGATTTACTTCAGTAATGTAGAAAAAGATCTAGATGCTCAGATTTCAGAAGACAAAACACATCACTCACCAGGAGCAAAAAGACCTTGAAGTTTATGGATGGAAGAGGACATACATATGTACATGACAATACAGAACCTTCTTCAAAGGCACTAATACTAGTCACTGTCAGACATGCACACTCACACTGACAACTAGTGCAACATGGTATGACAAGTTCTGTGAAAGAGGCAATCATCTTTAACTTGTAAAATAGTGAGGTACTCATTACAGTTGAGAAGTTTCGAATGAAGAAAGTCAGAGTTCATCATAAACCCCATGAAGTTGTAAAAATTTGTATCACTGTGTAAACAAATTATGCAGTACTATTACACTACCTGTAATTGCAAGGAAGGAAACCAATTACCTGCTAGATTTTGTATCCATTAGATTTTACAGATTAAATATTAACGGCTCTAATGGTATTTCAATACTGGACATTAAATATAGAATTTCACCTAAAGATTAAAATATCTGGGAAAGTATTCTGAGACCTGTGTCCATGAAGCTGACTACAGTTCAGCAAAAGTCAGTCAGATCTGAGTAATTATAACAGTGATAGAGTTTAACTGTATTTAAAAGACCATAAAAAATTAGGAAATTATCCTCTACCATTTCAGACGACTTTAAATTATCACTGAACTGCGTTAACACCTCTTCAAGTGTTCCAGAATCAAAGTAAGGGCTTGGGGCTCATTTACAAAAAGAAATTTTAGAGTTCAGCTTAAAAAAATGTTACTTTAAATCAACCAATTTAGTTAAGCTAAAAAAATCGTAGTGATCTCAGGCTAGCTATTTGTCAACTGGACTAAATTTCAGCTCCCAAGGTATCCTAAAATATTATTATAAACCAGTAATTTGTACATCATTAAATATTATGTTACCATTGCAAAGAAGTCCCAACAATTTTATTTATAAAGTTGTAATTTGTTAGGGAAATCTATTTCAGTTCCCTTGTTAGGGTCTGAAAACAAACAAACAAAAAGTTTCACCTTCATAAATGCTGAGACTCATCTGTACTATTAACTACAAAAGATGAACAATCTGTGACAAATTTGCACTAAGTGTTAGTATTGGCTTATTACACAATCAGAAGCAGTTACCTTTGAGAAGTCCAGAATTATCAATAGGACCAGGGTACACATTCTGATCTCCCATCTGGTATTTGTCCCAGCTGTCAAAACCAACATATTTTTTCCACTGTTTGAACCAGCGACTATCCACTAGATACCTTAAATGGAAGAAGACATACAAGTTAATTATTGGCATGCTATTACTTCCTACAGTACCCATTAATTCATATTAACACACTTGTATCCATCAGACTTGCAAAATGAAGAATGTTTTTCTGTCTGGTCTGCTAACCATTATCAGCATATCCTACCAACAAGGACTTTAATTGTGGGCAATTAAAGATCCCAGTAATCACAGTGGCCAAGTACAGTTTTGAAAGACTGCTGATACAGCATATCAGAAGTTGAAGAATGGCAAATTCAAAAAATACTTTCCTTTTTAGCAAGAAGTATCATCAGCTTTAATTCCCTTTCTCTATTTGTGAATTCAGGAGACTCAAGTTAAACCTTTATAATTAAACAGGCCTTTAAAAAATGAGAGATAACTTTTACCAAAATCTTTTTTTTTTTCTGCTGGAGTTTTATTTATAACATTCATATGCAAGTTGAAAAGCCTTAGAACTTTGGTGTCCTGTGAAGAACCAGAGAGTCTAAGTGTTTTCTTCCTTTGAGTCAGCATCAACACATGCAGTACACGTTCTGCTTTTGAGGCAGTACTAGATGTTCCTCCTACATCTAATTATCAACTTCACACTTCCATATAAAGGGATATCTCTAAACCCATCTCCACAGTATTTCTACCCAGATAAAACTGTTGCCAGTCTGGCCTTTATGAAGTGCAGTGATACCTACATTTCATATATTTTTGTCCAGAATTTCTTTAAGATCAAGATACCAAATTTGTCCAGTAATCCTCAGATTTTAATTTTTTTAATTCCTTTTTTTTAAAAAAAAAACCCACCGCTTTCATTATGACTCTTTCCTAAAAGTATCCATCTCCTCCTGTCTGGTCTGTTCCAACCGTTTTGTCACTACCCTCGTACATGTCAGAATATCACTATCAGGATGAAACGCTAGGTCAAACTATAAAGATCATAGGTAATCCTCATTCTTTTCTCCGGTATTTGACTACGGAACTGTTATTTGTAGCATACCAATAATATGGTATTGAACCTTTACAAGATATCAAAACTCTAAAATAAATACTAGTCTGCTAATAGCTTTATTAGGCAACCATTTCTGTAGGAGTTACTCATGAAAACCATAGAAAAAACACAGAACAAAAACATTAACACCCACAACTCTTGTAACCAAAGAAGTATAAAAACATTGCTTCAGTATACGTTTTACTGAATAGGTTTAAAAAAAAAAAAACATTAGCAGGGCCTTAAATTTGTGCTTCTAAATGATGTAACTACAACAAGAACTAACAAACCTAAGATACATAAGTCTTCACTTTTTTCTTCTTCTCAAATCCAGTTTTTCTCTCTAACACACACAGATCAAGCCTGGAGTCAGCCTCCAAAAGTACTGCTAGCAAACTCCTGGTAAAGAAGGAATTACTACTAATTAGTACTCGGTGTGGGATCCTTTGTAGTCAACTTATCAGCTTCTTTTCTCAATAAGCACCAGTTTTTCAGTTTCTACAAAATGTACTCTTAAGTGTGAATCTATAGGTAAAAGTCCTTTGGAAAGGAAGAGGAAGAAGGCATTAGAAAGCTATATATAACATAACCACAGGCTTTTGGATGCTTACGTCCCCTACAATCCTTCAAAAACATCAAAGACTAAGGTCTCAAAGGCACCTTTACAACATCTATGACAACAGCATCCTAATGCACACGGTAAACAGTCTTGATTCAAAATATGATTACATCAACAGTAATAATGAGCCTGTGAACAAAGTACTCCTAGCTTAGCTTGTACTTAGCTTGTAACTACCCTAAGCAAACAACATAAATAGCAAAGGCAGAGCTGTGTCTCAACTGCTATAGACACAGTTCTGCCAGTGTAAGACCTTTGGTTAGGGACCAAATTTCTCCCTTACTGCACCAGTGCCAGCCGTACTCTGAAGCATGTACCTTGACCGCCTCACAGTCCAACACTTGGTGTCGTATCTATTCCACTATCATAACCTCTGCTCAAGAGTCATCAATTACTACGAATTGTTATCTCTTCTGAAATTGTTCAGTACACAACTTTGTCCTTGAACTTGCAACACACAATTTATTTCTGAAATTTTAAACGCTTAATAAAGGAGTCAGAAAACACCCCCAAACTGCTTTTTGAACCAATATTATATATTTAAAAAAAAATAGTTTTAAACACTATTAAGGAAATGTATATGAAAAGTATTTTGCTGAAGAAATGTCCTTTTCCACTCTTACCAGCCTCAGAAACAGACAGTGACTTAATGGGATGTTTTGGGCACAACGCATCCCACCAAATCAGTAATTAAACAGTATGGTTGAAGTCCTATTCCAGAAAGATGAGACACTTAACTTTACTATGATTTTACAATATTGAATCATTCTAAAAGAGCCTAGCCCAGCACTGTTTATTTCAATTTTGTGGCAGAATTCCCTTGACATGTTTTGTTTTGTTTAGAGCATATTTAGAATGTAATAGGAAACAAGATTGGAAAAGGCTAAGCTGCACTAAAGATGGTGAAATCTGGGATAAAACACAGTAAAAAGATAAAAATGCAGGCTATTACAAAAATAAACACATTAAAACTTTATTAATGCTGAAAAAAAGGTAAAACTTATCTAGTTCAAATTGATTAAGTTCCAGTCCCACACACATTTCAAACTTCAAAAATCAAACTTATTCAATTAGAATACACTGATTTCTTAACCACTTTCCATTGTCTATGCTGTTACGTGAAGTTATAAGAACTACCAAAGCAACGAGCTTCACAAAATAATTCAGATCTTTGTGTACAGAAAACCTCATTTTGCAACACAAGAAAGTATCCAAGTAAAGTCTTACTGTCTTACATAAAAGCCTTTTCTGAACTTAACTTTTCAGGTTCTTCTAACACTGTAGCAGATTTAATGATCACTGCAGCAGAACCTATGAAACCACAAACCTCAAACTGTTGTGAAATTAAATAAGAGACAACTACAAGTATCAACAGTGATCAGCTTTTAAGAACAGTCATATAATGTGACTAGCTACACTTAATTTAAAATTTGGCATTATCATTTGTTTAAACAAGCATTCCACTAGAAAAAAAAACAACACAAAAAGCATGACTATTTTTTAAATATCAGATGAAAGCAAAGACACAAACATTAAAACTTGAAAAGTCCCTTCAAAACACCATGTTTGCCATCATGCAATAGAGAGAGGAAGTGAAGCAACATCATAACAGCTCCCCAGTACACTTTAAAATATTCAGTATGTTTGTTACTAGAAGCTTTCAATTATACTTTTACTATCATAAAATCCTCCTAAGCAATACACCAACAGAAGGAGAGAAAAAACTTAAACAAATTAGGTTTAAATTTCACAGCAATAACATGTGCTTCCTTTTCTACAATCAATAGTCAGATGCAGATGTCTTTCAGATAGGATCTGGTTCAATGCAGACAAGAATGCTTTTGGAGGTACAGACTTAACAGTGAATGCAGAAAGGTTTTAAACTGTTTCCTGTAACAGATTCTCCATCCAATTCATGCCCAAGGTATGCCACATTCATCTATTGCCCAGAAATGGGACAGGGGAAGAGAATACAGCAGACAGAAGCCTGCAATAGGCAATTTAGCCTATTCATTTAAAGATCACATGAGTAAGAATTTAAGAATTCAGTGAACACAACAAAGATAGTCCACTTGAAAATTAAGAAAGAAAAATCAGATCTCTACAAACAAATTTTCACCAAACAATAACTAACTATTGCAATTAAATGAGTGTTATCTTCCATTTCCTGGAAGAGAAAAATAGACATTACATTCTACCCTGGAAGTTTGAATTAGTATGACCATTTTAAATGGACTGACTTTATTCTACACAGTGGATATGTAATTGAATATAGTGTCTGATATTAAAGATAATTTTTCCTTTACCCTGAGTCTGCCAGAACAAGCCTGATGTTACTATAATTGAATCAGTGGTATTTGTGTCTTTTTCTTTTTAAAGTACAAGTAGCAGCAATTCTTTCCACATTTGCAAAAATCCAGTGCTTTCACTCTGCCTGTACAAATCCCAATTCCTTTTACAACAGCCTCTTAATATTTGACTCATTTTTCTTTAACAAATGAAAAAAGGGCTATCAAATTTGATTCATCTGACATACCCTTGCCTTTTGCTTTATACACAAGGTTTTCAGCTTTATGAACATACTCAAGGCCAACAGTGTTCTCACCTTTCTCTTCTGCTGTGGCCATCCAGCACTATTCCATAACAGCTATAACTGCATGTGGTTATGAATGTAGTTACCCTCAGGCAGCCATTCTACCACCAAACCTGCCAGTCTTGTCCCCTAGTCCATCCCATGGCCTCTACTTTCTTGATCTAAATTTGAATGAATTTGAATCTTAAAGAAAGCAAGCTATAATTTTACACAGAAGGGAACTTATCATATGGGCAAACTGACCATTGTTTTAATTAATCCCTAACAAATTACTGCTCCTGTAGAAACATATTAATTTTCAAATGCTTTGTGTTAAATGTCTGATCATACACCAGTAACTTAGTGATTTATAGAAGACTTTGATAACTGGACTTAACAGTGCAAGAAAGCTTGGGGTCCACTGTTTTCACCATTACCTATTTCAACAGTTCATCAGCTTTATTCTTCCACATCCAATTGATTTTGCCACCAACCAAATTCTGCTGCAATGTCTCTTTACAGTCCTCTTCAACTGAAAAGTTGTAACATTTCTGTTGCCTCACACAAAGTGCAAGAACTTACATCACTTCTCTTCAAATTTAGGAATTTGTACTTACATGCTCAAATAAGAGATTAGTATTTCTAGCATAAAAAAAAAGTTGAAAGGCCACCTATAAATTATGCAGGTATGTAAGTTTGATAAGAACTCAAAAGTACAGTCAAGTTCCTGCCCTGGAAAGAAAAGGCTGAAGGACAACCAAATCCTAATTAAAAAAAACAAAACAAAACAAAACAAAACACTCATTAAGTTTGAGATTCTCTGAGCAAAGTCTGCCCAGTAGTGCAATGGAGAAACACAAAATGAAGAATGCATGAACACCAAAAATTTGTAAGCTACTCAAAGCTACTTTGTCTTTATACCCATCCTTTCCTGTTTTCTTACTTAAATTCACTGAGTTAGACTTTGTTAAACTGGTATATTTTGGATATATGGACAAAGCTGCAAGGAACGATTAAAAAAAGAAGCTAATTGGGTGCAAGATAGTATTCAAAGATTGAATTCTGCAACTGTAAAAAAATAAGTCAATATATGTAAAGCATAATTAAAGCCGATTACTTTCAGACAAATAAGAACCTACGTGCATTTTTTTGCTAGATGCATTCTACTGAAGATTAATGAAAAGATTGGAAAAGGGAAAATCATGAAATCTGTGTGTACTCAAGGGCAAAGCTTAACACTTTGGTTAATATTGCTTGTAACATGAAGCAGTATATATTTAAAAATTAGCACAGAGATAGAGCGAACCAAGAAGATCAAATTTATTAGGATAAGGAGCAAATGGGCCACTGCCAGTTCTCAGCATTTCTTACAGACCACATCATACTCCAGTAATCAAACCTGAAACAAAACTATTACAGATTTGATACAGCACTATATGTCTTACCAGAGCCTAGTGAACGACCTGCTGACCACAGATTATAGCTTAGAAAGTACTGCCTTACTCACTATCCTAATATTCAGCTCTTTTAACATCCTTTAGAAACAAAGGTAAGCAGGATACTATGTAAGTCCGGTAATCAATTTATTTTCTATTTAGAGATAACTGCCTTTAATTGACTCAGGATCTACAAACATTGTTTAGACTTCTTAATTTAAAGTGTGGAGTCTTTATTCTCAGACAGGCATTCTTAAGAGCAAACTCAGTAGACCAGTTTACCACAACGTTGAGGTAACACGCATTACATGCAAAAGAAAGATGTAGTAAATTTATGCATTATGTGCAAAAGAAGGATTTAGTGAATTTATATAGCCAAGAAAAAAAGATTAGACACAGATTTTGAAAAATGCTAACAAACACTGTAATTGTGAATTCCTACAGTGAATTACTGGTTATGTGTATGTATGTGCATACATATGCACATGTATATATATGTTTTATACATATCAGGGATTTTAATGAGCAATCTGCTACTTTTACATCAATAGAAATCTGATACAAGTGACAGAAGTTATTTTGAGTTACTATGGAATATAGTCACAGCAGCTGTAATCTTCCCCCTTTACAAAGACTTGTTCTTAATCAATAGACAAACCACTAATTTTCCAATAACATTAAGGAAAATGGAAATTTGCATTAAAATGCTATACACTTCCTTCATTTTTAAGCAAGAAGGATACACCATATTAAAGATTATGCTGCAAAAAAAGGTAATGCAATTATACCACACTCAGCTTAGGGGATCAATCTGCTAAAGCACTTAAAGTACATAGCAAAAATCCAGACTTCTTAGCACTAAGTGAAAAAGTAAAAATCAAAAATGTATAGACCACAGCTTTTGATCCTACAAGCACATTCAATACAGCATTCTCACCAAGATCAACAAGACCACTCATCTACACAAAACAGAGAAGGTGAACCATAAGAAGGCAATTTAATTTATCTTTTCATCAATGTTATAATATCCATTATACAATCAACCACCTGAAAATTAAGTAATACCTAGGAGGGACATTCAGTAATTTAAGAGGAAAAGACATACCTCAAGTAAACAGAACTACATGTGCTAAAACCTCATTTCTTAAATAAGATTTGATCACTTTTTAGATCACTCTTCAGAGGAAAATTATTAAAAACTTGTAGCGTGCACTTGAGACCACATATACTTCACTGAATATGTGCTGTCCCAAATACAAGAATAGCATACCATGCATTAGTAAAACAGAGACATAACATGTCTGTACATTAAACTTGGTACAATGTTTTGCTTTGATTTTTTGTTACCATTACCCAATACAGGAAAGAATTCCAGACCAGTCTAACGATACAGCAGTTTTTTGAACTGTGGACCTGACTGACAAACCTACAAAGCAAAGCTAAGAAATACAGCCTATCCCTTTTTTAAAACTATGATTAAGAAATGTTTGTTACTTAACTCTGATGGAATCAAGATTTCGCTCAAGTAGCAAACACATATTTTGCTTTCTCAGATGTCATCAGTCAAGCTAGTGAGCAGGATAACCAACCCAACTTCAGAGGTAAAACACACCCGGAGGATTCTTAGTATAGACTGAAGGAGAGAGTTGTCTCATATTTCTAGACATGCTGTTTTCAGGGGCAAACCTTAAAAACTAAGACAACTTCACAACAAGGTGAACTGATTAAATCAGCAAATGCTTGACATTTATAGGCATATCAAATAAATCAGTCACCTCAAATTGCTTGATGAAAACAGTACAACCAAGTTCAATTACACCAAAGTCACTGAGAGCCAACAAGTTGATAACAGAAATACAAAAATACTGAAATAGCCCCAAACCTCTACCTCAAAGTAAGCAAAGATATGTACGTATGATTTGCTGAAAATTACACTCAAATATGATATTTTAGGTATTAATAATATTGGAAATACTTCTACAGTTTAACTACTAGGTGTTTTCTCTTAGTTGTATTACATCTCCTTAAAGGGATCTAAATTTTCTTTGAGCAAGTAGAATAAAAAAACTATAGAACATGTTCATGAAGATGTTCCCAGTTCAAGTCTGGCCTACTTCAGTATTCAGTGTTTACTTCAAAGTGGAGCTTGAGATCTCTTCTTTGATACATTTGCTCTCACCTGTAAAATGTTTCTTGCCTGTCTGAAGCAGATTATAACATACAAGGGACAATTTATGCTTTTGAGTCCCCTGAAATACCAGATACGGAATAAAACACGAGGAAATGCTATGACGCTGCATCAAGTGGAGTTCAGATTGGACATTAGGAAAAAGTTCTTCACTGAGGTCAGTCACTGGAACCGGCTCCCCAGGGAAGTGGTCATGACAGCAAGCCTGTCAGAGTTCAAGGAGCATCTGGACAATGCTCTTAGTCATATGGTTAGGTTTAGGTAGTCCGACGAGGAGCAAGGAGTTGGACTCAATGATCCTTATGGGTCCCTTCCAACTTGAGATGTTCTATGATTCTATGAAAACCCTGTATCCCTTCACAGCCAAGAGCAGCTTGCAAAACAGAGGTCTACACTACCTTTGCAGACATGCAACATATCAGAATTTGCAGAATATCTTTAGAACATTCCACAACAGTGGAATTTGTTCTGATAATAAAGACATGGAAAACCCACACAATCACAAACGGAGCACATAACAATGTATTTTACCGAAGTGTATGTTCTCCCTTTGATACACAACAGATTTTGATATCATATGGATTCAGTGTTATCACTACAGCAGGTGAAATAAAAGACTAAATTCTGAACCTTGCAAATATAAGCTCCAACAACATTCTCCTTCCAGTGGCTGATAACAAAAAGCCTTACTTGACGGCTGAGGGTCCTCACAGATTGCATTTGCTCATCTTCCAATCTTAATTCAGGCTAGTGTGAGTCCATTGATCACACAAAGGGGTCGAAAAATAGAATGTTCTTTGGTATCTTCTAATATTACATGTCACTTTATTTCCTTGAAAAGCAATAATAACTGTTGGTCATATCTATCTCATCCCATACAGAAGCTATTTTCCAATAATATATTCCCATTTGAACGTTCCCATTTTCCAATACTATATTCCTCTGGAGTGTGTCCAGAGGAGGGCCACGAGGATGATCCAAGGGCTGGAACACCTCTCCTATGAGGAGAGGCTAAGAAAGTTGGGGCTGTTCAGACTGGAGAAGAGAAGGCTCCGGGGAGATCTTATTGCCGCCTTCCAGTACCTAAAGGGGGCCTACAGGAGAGCTGGGGAAAGACTTTTTACTAAGGCATGTAGCAATAGGACGAGGGGGAATGGCTTTAAACTGGAAGAGGGCAGGTTTAGATTAAACATTAGGAAGAAATTTTTCACTTTGAGTGTGGTAAGGCACTGGAACAGGTTGCCCAGAGAAGTTGTTGAGGCCCCATCCCTGGAGGTGTTCAAGGCCAGGCTGGACGTGGCCTTGGGCAACCTGGTCTAGTGGGAGGTGTCCCTGCCCATGGCAGGGGAGTTGGAACTCGATGATCTTCAAGGTCCCTTCCAACCTAAACCATTCTATGATTCTATGATCTAGGCATAACTTTTCTTTAAA